CAGTGGTGTCTTCCTTTTTTGCAGTGTTATATGTTTTATGTATCTTATGTGCTTTGATTTGGCTAAGTTGAGATGTTGGGTTAGTCTTGTTTAGCTGTTGTATTGGTTAGGCAGTACATGTTGTACGTGTGCTCCCATCGCGTGCAGATTAGGGGTTTCCCCGTGTACATTCCATTTATTTTGGTTCTATGTGAGTGATAATGTCGTTTGAAAAAAAAAAATCACTTAGACTAATGATCCAATAAAATGAACCTTACTTTTTAACGAATCAAAGTAGAGGTTTTTGTATGCATGTTCTTGTTTATATCTTACGGGTTCATCATACTAGTTACAACGTTGGGGTGGCCCCGACCGCCATTTCATCAAGTTTTTTAATATTACCGTGAACTCACAACCACAAACAATAGTCTTTGTGTTCTTTCTCTGTCTTGGTTTTGGAGTCCCTTCATCTTTCTTTCTTTTTTTGCGTTGGCCCAATTACATCTAAGCCTTACACTGGTGGGTAAATGCTTTGAAGTTATTTTCAACTCATACCCTGTGTATATGGCAAGAAAGTAGCAATAATACAGAGCTTCACTATAACTCTTATGTATTTGCCTGTCTTGAAAATAATTTGTATAATCTTCAAATTCATCCTGTAAATAGTTAAATTACACAATTTTATTACCACATTTGATTAGAAGTAAATATTAATAATAATCATAAATCCTATAGGTGATAAATGAAGAAAACTATAAAATTTAGTTGCAGAAAAACAAGCTTGGGGTTTAGACGTTGGAAGTCCTTATAAGCTTTAGGATTAGACTTTTAAGAGACATACAAGCTTACAAACGGGACGTTTCTCTTAACAGTCGGGCTGCCCATTTAGACGTTTCTGGGGTCATGTAGCTTTACTATAAAACATTTACATCCTTTGTAAGCTTAGCTATTAGACGTTTCGTCTACGTTCTAGCTTTTACCTGGGACGTTTACTGAACGAACTTAAACCCTAACCTACATCTATTATCACTCTATTCATTCTACCATACTAATCAACCCCTCACATTGGTTTAATAAAACATATATGAAGACGATTTAATAATCTAAGTCCTAAAATAACTCAAATACTCAAAAATCAAAGATCTATTTGTGAGTGAAAATCAATGTAAAAAAAATAAAAAATTAGGATTTAACATAATTTACCTCATTTGCATGTGTCCTCGATGATGTTGGATTACTAGACATGTAGATTAATGAAGAATAATGTAGAGATTGGTTAGTTAATTTTTAATGAAGATGAAGGAGGAGATTGATGAATATATGGATTTTGGTAAAAGTGAAGAAGAAGGAGATATGTAAAAATAATAATTTAGATAAAAGTTAGTAAAATACTTTTACTAGGACATAAATGTAATTTCTATTATTATTAGTAGGTCAAAACTGAACAGAGACCCGGACCATGGAATCGAATATAGAAATAATAAATAAAATAAATCTTATTGTTCGATCTCCAATAGTCAAAAGCATTCAACGACCCAGTTTATTTAGTTGCCAACGGTCCAAAAGAAAATATGGTGGGCCATCTCGAGGGCCGGCCTGGACCAACATTTTTTATACATGAGGCCCAGAACCGACCTAGTCAAACTACGAGCTCGGCTCTGGGCCGGTTCGGGTCGAATTGGCGGGCCAGGCTAGACCGATCCATGGCCATGATTAGTACTCTAAACCCGTAAAATATAAAAATGAACGTGCATACAATACATCTACTTTGATTCGCTAAAAAATATACACCTCTACTTTGATTCACTAAAGAACGAGGTCTTTTCTGTTGGACTGATGACCTAAGTGAGATCCATTCATAACTATGAGAATTATCTATAAACTAATAAAAATTACGATTTTATTCAAATATGATTCTATTAAAAAATATTTTGTCATTATTAAATATGGTTACGATTTTATTATTAAAATTATATTAAAATAAGTGTATATTATAAGAGAAATACTATAGGTACATCATATTGTATATAGAGGTGTACATAACACTCACATTGAGTGAGATCCATCAAAAATAGAAAATCAAGTAGACTCCACTCCATGTGAGTGTTATGTACATCTAATTTACTATACCATCAAATTGTAGTATGATAAGTAGGGTTAAAATAATCACGTAAATTTCGCGGCCCTTGGCAAACTCACTACACTTATGTGAATATCCAGCCCACCATTCAGGCCCTTTCTTTTGAGTCGTACAAAAAAAAAAACCCTAATCAAAACAGTCACCCGCCTACAAATTTCAGTAGCCAACAAACAAAGCTCCACGAAATAAGCTTTCATGGAGCTTTATCTGGGACATTTGTTTTGCTTCAAAGCTTAGCTGTTGGACGTTTGTTAGGGCCACAAGCTTCACTTCTGAATGTTTCTTCAGCTTCGGAGCTTTGCTTTTGGACGTTTGCTCTCACTGCCGATCTTCCATTTTGGACGTTTGCCCGGCTTTCAAGCATAGCTTCTAGACGTTTGGTTTCATAGGTGAGCTATAGTGTAGGACGTTTAGTATGCTTTAAAGCTTAACTCTTGGACGTTTCACTTGGCCTCAAGCTTTTCTGTTAGACGTTTAGCGGCATAATAAGCTTGCAATTTAAAAGTTTTAAATGTGTTTCCCCTTCTCATTTAGACGTTTCTCTTCAGAGTCGGGCTTTCCAGTTAGATGTTTATTTGACTTCCAAGCTTTACTACTGGACATTTGTTTTCACAATGAAGCTTCCATGTTAGACGTTTGACTACCTTTTAAACTTAGCTTGTGGACGTTTGTTTACACAGTGGAGCTTCCATGTTGGACGTTTGCCTGCCTTACAAACTTAGCCTCTGGACCTTTTACATGGCCTCAAGCTTTCCATTTAGACCTTTAGCGGCATAATAAGCTTGCAATGTAGAACTTTTAAATGTGTTGCCCCTTGTCATTTAGACGTTTCTCTTCAGAGTCGGGCTTCGTGTTTGGACGTTTCCTTGGCTTTCATGCTTAGCCATTAGACGTTTATCTTCACAGTCGGGCTTCTTTGTTGGATGTTTCTTTGGCTGTCAAGCTTAGCTTCTAGACGTTCTTTGGCTTCCGAGCTTAGTTGATAGACGTTTGAATGTTTTTTTTTTTCATTAACTTTTTTTTACCACAAGGATATTCTTGTAAATTTACAATTTTTTAATATATTTTTTGGGCAACGAGTAATAATTTGGGGCGACAAATAACAAGTAGTAAGTTACGTTGTAAATAATTAAGGTGGGTTGGGTTCGAACGTGAATAACCTTGCCTTGGTTTTTTCTTTTCAATAGTTTCTATTAACCCACACCACCGCCCCACCGGAGCTCGGCCCTCGCGGCACACAGTCGAGTTTCACTTGCCTCTTATTTCCCATCTCATTCCATAATATTCACGCTTCCTACTATAATGCCTCTCCGCGGAATTTCTGTTTCCTCCGCAACTCATCCTCATTCCAATTTCCCCATTCTTCAAAATCCTGCAACAATTACTTCATCCCTTGCGCCCAAAATTCCGGATAACGTTCAATGGCGCGAAAAATCGCCGCCGTTCTCCTCGGGCAGGAGAATGCTTAACCTGTCTATTGTTGGATTTCTGCTATCCTTTGGACAACCCTTTCCGAGATTCTTGTTTTTCTCCAAGGCCATGGCGGAGCTCGACAGATACACGGATGCCAAACAAGGGTTCACTGTCCTCGTACCCTCTTCCTGGGTTAAGGTTTCATTGATATGGAGATTTTTACAAATAGGAAAGTTTCCTTAAAGTGGTACCGATTTGGCTTGGTTATGGAAAATTATGTGGATGGCGTTTATTTTGAGCAGGTGGATAAGGCGGGAGCAACTCTACTGTTCGAGGAAGCAAATAAAAGGGCAAACAGTGTGGGTGTGGTGGTGAGCCCGACTCGGATATCGAGCCTTGGAGAATTCGGGACGACTCAGTTTGTGGCGGATAAGCTTATCCAGGCCGAAAGGCGCAAGGTTTGTCGGTTTATGTATGTATTAGCTTGTTGTGGTGTTCATGCTATTGTTGGATCATCTTACTGATTTTTGGTTGCTTACTATGGTGAAAGGTATAAAATGTGGATGCTAGATGTGTTATTGATATCAAGATATCAAGATGCTAATGTACTATAGATATAATAACTACAAAAACAAGATACTACCTGTGGAGTTTTGGATGGGGGAAATTAATCCAAATTTTTTGTAATCGTATCAATTTAAGGCCTTTGTTTTATTAGTTTTCGATAGAAAATTTACATTTAGGGTTATTCTCAATTTAGAACTTACCTTTTTTTATTTAATTGAGAGTCAGTTAACTTTACTTTTTGACGTATATATGTGAACCATAATATTATTTTTTATGCAATTATATTTTACATATTTATGACAAAACTATTTACCGTATTTAACAATTAACAACCGGGTTTGCTATGAAGCTAACAATTGGCTCCACAGTGGAGCCAATCTTCTATATACAATAAGTAAACATACCATATTCTTTGATTACTTAAATACACCAATATAATTTTATGAATATATTAGGTTTATTTGTTGTATATATAAGGTTGACTCCATTATGGAGTCAACTGTTGGCTTCATAGCAAAACCGATTAACTTAGTAAATTAATAGTTACATTTTATTTTTAAAAAATTAATAAGAGAATATAAAAATATGTAATTGAAATATTATTTTGATTAATAATCTAAATATGTTATAAAATTAAGAAATAAATCAAAAGATGTAATAGAAATAGAAAACTAAAAAGTGAAGTAGCAAAAAAAAAGGAAATAGAAAATTGTATTAAATATCATTTTTTACTTTTATTACAAAGTTGGATTTTATTAATAAAGATAAAATTTTAATATATATTATTTAAGTTCACTTATCAGTTTTTAAAAATAATCTTTACTGAACTTTTGCATAAACGTACTTTACATAGACTTATTTTCTTCTTAAGGTAATTTTACTAAAGATATTTATTACCGTTTATTATATGTATGTAAAATATAAATTACCAGAAAATATTTTTTATCATATAATTATATCATAAAATAAGGTTAGTTGGTCCTACATTGAGAAGTCAAACATAAAACTGAGTTTTAAATTGAGAATAACCTAAAACGTAAACTTTAATAAGAAAGAACAAAATTCAATTCAAAAAAATTGGGCGAATTTCCCCTTTTTGGATGGGTTGTCCCTAATCGGTTTTGTTATGAAGCCAACAATTGGCTTTATAGTGGAGTCAACCTTCTATATACAATATACAACAAGTAAACATACTATATTCTTTGATTACTTAAATATCACTAATATAATTTTATTAATATGGTAGGTTTATTTGTTGTTTATAGAAGGTTGGCTCCACTATGGAACCAACTGTTGGTTTCATAGCAAAACCGTGTTTGTAATATAGCTGATTTTATTAGATTGAATCTAAATGGTAGTAGGGTTACAAAATAAGAATTATGTGTGATTCATAGTATGTTTTTAATCTTAAATGTGTACTTTTCATTGGTTGTTTTGTTGTCTATGATTTGGAATGGTGAGAATATGAAATATAAATTCTGTAGGTTTCTTATGAATTTTAGAATTGCATGTCTCTAGCACAAGTGTGAAGTCTGAATGAGGATGATATGTAGAGCACCATTAAACCTTTGTTTTGTTATTCAAATGAATCTGTGTTTCAGATGCACTTCCACTCCATTGTCCCAATGAATTAATGCCTAAAACATCAACTAAAGCAGTTAACAAAATATATTAGCACAACTAAATGTCTAAGATCAGACATTCAGTGTACAAGCCATTAGTCCATTAGTAAATATCACAGTCAAATGCAAAGTTCTTGCCTGTGATCTCTAGAGTCAATTCATCAATTTCTCCAAGCCTTTACTTCCCTTTCCGGGCCACGAGGCAATTGAATTTTCGGAGTATTAATTCCTTATATTTTCTTTATTTTACTTGTAAATTGTACAGGAGAGCACCAAAGAGGCTGAGGTAATCTCGGTGGCAGAGAGACAGGGCCAAGGGGGCCTTCAAGTGTTTGAGTTTGAATACAAGGTCGATAGCACCAGGGGAGGGCCCAAGAGGGTCTTTTCTGCTGCTTTTGTGAAATCTAAGAGGCTCTATCTTTTGAACATCACTCATTCCGATGGTTTAGATAACCCTCTTAGTGTGGAGACTAAGATGATGCTGGAACAAGTTATGCATTCATTTGATGCCACTCCTTCAACCTAAAAGATGACGATAATGTCCTTTCTCGTAATATTCATCCAAAGGCAGTAGGCGCTTGAGCTCGGAAAACCAACGGAAGGTACTCCAATTTGACATTGTTGATTTCCACTGCCATGTCCATTGTTTTTTGAAATAATACAGTTCACTCTTGGCATTGTTTAGATGATATAGATGTCTTGATTCTTTTATTTGGGAGCACCGAGTTTTACTTTGTACAATACGTACTTTTTAATTTTATTATTTTAAGGCACTCGACAGCTCGGTTTTAGCTTATACTGCTTAGATACCCCAATACAATTGTTGGAGAATTGTGTGATAATAATTCGTGTGCTTTTAGTATATCTTTTGACGATTCAAGTATGCTCTTCTGTGTTTTCTTCTCCAATGCTTTTTTATGAACGTAATACCTATGAGTGTAATGTGAGGGATAAATACAAAAACCACTTCCATGTCTCATCTAATTATGAAAGGTCCACTTATCTCTTGTAGTTACAAATGCCCGTTCAACCTTGAGTTGTGAATTATAGGATTCGTTGTGAATAAACTCTACTTTATTCACAACTCACTGTATAAGATGAACATCATTTGCTTGGTTCAACTTTGAATTATAGTGAGATACTGAAGAGTCTCTTTGTGTACAGAAAGTCCATACTTGTTGCCTTCATTCTTGGAAAAAGCAGGAGGGATGATATTTGAGGCTGCTCGATCCCTTGGATGTCGTCTTAACTTTTAAAAAGTTTCTTAATGAAACCACTCCGAGAAATTCATGGAGCTCCCTCTAAGAGCATCTCCAATGCATTACTGTCAAGTAAATAAAAATAAATGCCATGTCATTATTAGATATAATTTCATATTTATCTCTCCATTGAGTTTTGTCGTAGTCTAGTTTTGTGTGACGTGACATTAGGCTTGACTATTGTATGAAACCACAGTGTCTTTGACGGTATGAGTAAAATAAAAAAACGTTCCAAAATCTGTAGAATCGTGGGAAAAAAGTTGGGGAAACCTGATTGAAGGACACGTGAACACATAAGTCTCCGATATGTTTAAAATCGAAATTTGAGTCTCCAAATATGTTTAAAATCAGAGATGTGAGGATAACATGATGGTTATGTTGAGGAATAACAAACTCCAAATTTTAAGGATATATTCAGGAAGACATATGCTTGTTAACATGTCATCCAGATATTGATGTTACTAAAAACACTCGTTCAATCTATTAAATTTTTAAAAATCGTTAACATGAATATTTAAAAAAAAAAAATATCCTAGTCAGCCAGAATGAAAGAAAGTGCATTGTACGTAGTATTTGGCTGTTGCGATTTCTACTGTCAACATTGATATGAAGGGGATCAGTTAAGGGATCGGTTATCCAATTATGTACAGGCACCTGGCATGAACATTTTAACATTCACGTCCATACACTCCATACACTCGAAATAGATGCTCTAAGGAAAAATATGACGACAGTTGTTGAACTTAAATTATATGATCGGTTTATGTGACGGTAATGTCATCAGAGACCACAATGTATTTGACACATATTAAAAGTGCTCTAAATCAATACATGAGAATCTGCTAGTGAAGGTTTGTTTGAGACCAAGTTGAACAAGAATGACGTTGAATTTTATCAAACCAAGTCTTAGAAGCTTGCGCACCTTTTTTTTATTCAGGCAGAAGCACCAATGGCAGTTGTCTTTATTTCTGCAGATTTTTTGCAGGTTTGCTGTTACTAGAAACATATGGTATTTTGCACACACAGGCATTTATATGCATACATATAGTACATTATCTTAGGAAGTGTCAACCTCTGTGGCCCCAGTACACAGCAAATTAACCACAATAATATATATATTTAACATAGATTCATCTATATCATCAGGCACGAACAGAGCCAGATCGGATCACATCTACAAACTGTTCACAACACCATATATTCCCATCACGGAAATCCGATCGACATGGAATTTCCCTCAGCTTCCAAACGTATATCCTGACCCATCCCATCCTGAGAACTCAAACAAGCCGGCAACTGCACAAGCTTCAGCTGACACTTGAGCACTTCCCACTCCTCCTTAAACAAACTGTAGCTCGAGTCTTTTGCCAGCACGTCCACCGACACCTCCATCCTCTCGACCAACCCTCGTGCGTACTTCTCAAACCTCCCAATCTCATCCAAAAGCTCCAAATGCCTGCCCGAGTCCACCTCACACGTGACCCGATACACATAATCCCTAGCCTCCTCAACCCTAGCCCAAAAGCACGAATCTTGGGTCAAGCCTGCAAACCTGCTCCGCGGGCCATTCTCCTCGTCCCCGACTTTCCTCTCGCGCCACCACCTATCGAAAATCTTGAACCTCTTCTCGCGCCCGTGCTGTATGTAGTGGCCCTTCTTCTCGTGCATGCCCGTCCTGTAGTACTCTGCAATCTCGAGAGGCTCGACCAAAAGGGTGTAGGATCGGGAGGCGTTAACGTACTTGGGAAGCTTGTGGAAGTCGTGGGTGAGTTGATTTGAGTCGATCATGAGTAAGAGTTTGTCCCAGAAGGCAGCAAGACGGATTCGGTTCATGTTAACCTTGGAGCCACGCTTTGAGGCACCTCTTTGCTTGAATGAGTCGTAGTAGCCCGAGTGGTGGTAGTCGCAGAAAGCCTTGTACCACTCGATCTGCGCACGGAGTGGGGTCACTTTCGATAACGAGACGGCCATTTTCGCTGCATTGAGGTTGCGACTGCACCCAAGCTGTCTCGCCAGCATGAGGCTGTTTTTCGCGATCGGTTCGATCACCTCGGAACGATTCAGTCCGGAAGAACGTAATGCGAGGGCGGTCCCTGCCTCAGTGCTCGACTCGGAAAAAAACCACGTGTCGGCAGACGGCTTCTTCGTAAGGTAGCGCCAGCTGGCCCTCCCGACATAGTCCTCATACTCGAGATGATTCCTCACGCACGAGGAGGAGGAGTTATCGCCCTTTGCTGCTACGAGTATCGAATAAAGCAACCTCACGATAGCCACTCCATTGTCCAAGCAGATTGCCCCGTCTCCAGTGCACAACATGTAGCTACCAAACGGCCAGAACGAGGTCCTCCCGTGGTGGGCCCCGCCTCCTCCCTCCAGACAGGCTGCTATCACCCTGCACAGCTCGGCCAAGCTACCGCATGAAAAAAAGTTGGGAACAATGCACGAGGCCATGGACGAGTGCCACAAGTGGATAAGGGCTGGCAGGTGGTCCATGAAAGAGGATGGTGGGGCGAACAGCAGGCGGGGGACTATGTCATTCTGGGCCACGACGTGGATGAAGTGGCCAGCCCATCTCTCCTGGAGGACGGCACGAGAGAAGGATTGGTTACCGAGCATTGGGGAGCCGAACGTGACGCACATGACGTGGATGTTGTTGGTTTGGAGGACGGAGAGGAGCCAAAGGGCCGTGAGGGAAGCTACGGCGCCGCCAAGGGAGTGGCCGGTCAAAATCACCGATTTGCACTCGTTCACCACTTCGTGAATCTGGGAAATTAAAGATCTTCATCATCACCTAAATCGGTAAATCCAATATACTCTAATGACAGAAATACATGATCTTTCCTTCCTCATAAAAGGTTCATGTTATTCAAAGGGAAAGAAAAAACAGAGAATAAAAAAAAAACAACAACTGCTTATTGTAATAAGTAATGGAGTATTATATATGGGAAATGCTATGGTCCTGTTACAAAATCATTCCTTCAGAATTTGTAACCGTTGTACCATCATGTGACCGTCAAGGATAGTTGATCTAACTGTTACAAACTCCGACATAATGGTTACGTAACAGGACAGTAACATCTTCCTAAATATCTTCCTAAATTATAAGCAAAACAAAATATTATAAATAAAATGTTTCTTGTATTACAAATCTTTTCTTTCCTTTAAACTTTTTCTTTTCATTTTCAATGTTGATAAAGCATTATTGGTCGTGACCCACTTGACTAAATATTATATAACTACTTACCGCTGAACAGAAAATGAAATGCAGTGGGAATTAATTCATAATCACAAGATAAGAGATGGTAAGTGGATGGAGACGGGTTCTCTTAATGTGGCGCTAAAACATAAATCCAATGTATTCTTTGTGAAAAGGATATTCGTGCTTTCTCGATTTTCTTTTTTTATATATTTCTTTTTCACTTATTATGAAAAGGTTTTACGCTTTGGTCCCCCCTTTTTTCTCCTTTTCTATTTCTTTTTTTTTTTTTTGGGTAGCCATCCACGGTTCCAGAGCTATGCCCCGACTAATCCGTTGGTCGACCCGGGTCGCACACCTGACAGTGGTGGGTGAGTTTCCCAACAAGAATTTTCTGCATCCACAAGGACTCGAACCCGAGACCTTTCTTAATCGACATCAAGCTGCTTACCACTTGAGCCAACCCCTGTTGATTTCTATTTCTTTTAACTAATATATAGTGTACATCTCACCGAAAATTCAGATATATACTAGAAAATGTAAATTCATTCATTCTTAAACTTCTCCGTATTCCAATTAACTCCATTAATTTATGCTACAAGTCGTCTCGACTCGTAGGCTTCTCTGTTCAGCCTTTGGTTGTTTCTTTCGACCCTTTGGCTGCTTGTAATTTTCGTGCTTACTATTAATATATTCTGCCCCTTGGAAAAAAAATTAACACGGTTAATTAAATGTGGTTTATTGTGCAAATAATACAGTCAGTAATTAAATAAGCATATATATATATATTTATATATATATATATATTTACTAGTACAATACCCGTGTATTACACGGGTGCTTGCTGAATTTTTTTTTTTCTTAAAATTTAAAATTAATGAGAAAAGGTGGTTGAAAATTTTAAATACTTTTTATACGAAAATATATATCCCCCTATATATAATTGTCGAATGCGCTGAGCCTACGTGACTGCTTCTGGTGCTTCGAAATACACTTGGCGAAGAATCATGCTTCGTAATTAGGTTTGAACAAATACTATTGATATATTAATAATTAATAATCTAGGTTCGGACATTTCATAAATATTATTTAGCTAACTTAGGTATTTTAATATCACTTGTAGTAATATAACCCTTTAATTCGTTGTAATTTTACATAGTGAGGCACTAAGTGACTAATATATCTCTGACTTTTGATTTGCTTCCTTCAATTAGCTAGTGATATTTTTATTTTGAATTTTATAGAAAAGCAAACGCAAATCGATATTGTTGTTCGGTTTCTTTTAATCACCAAGGTCAAGCTATTGATATTTTCCATTTTGAAAATTCTTTGTTGCGACAATAATGGGAATATTGCAAATCGAAATAATAACGTTGCATACGGAGAAGTTTTTCAAAATTTGAAATAATATTACAATTTCTGCTTTTTATTTCATTAGTTATTTTTATCTTATTTTTTATATTATTATATAAATTATTGTAGTTCTACCTTTTACGGATCATAATTTCTTTTAATCACCCGTGTATCACACGGCTATAACTAGTTATTATATATTTTAGTACGACACTTGTTACTTGTGCGATTTACATGTGTTATATTTTAATAATTTTTCTAACTTAAAACATATAACTACATTAAACATAAATATATTAATTAAAGAATAATTTTATTTTTCAAATTAACTAAACGCACTATAACACCGAACAACGTATGGACGTAAGCGTCAGAAGATTGATTAATTTGATATATTATATATGTAAACCCGATAAGAAATACAGAAGTTACCAACTTTTAAAATGCATTTACAATTCACTGGTTATAATAGGAAATGACATTAAAATACAATTAATATATCTAAAATGATCATAAATAAATCAACATATTTATGGTAATCTGGACCTAATTATTTTTTGATTGAAATTAAATTAAAATACATTCAAGCCAAATAATGAAACATGAAATTTTGACACCTAAAATTCGATGCATGCGAGTCTGTCACTTAGTTGAGCACATTCGAGAACTATATATAGCGGGAGGGGATATATATATTATATAATAGAAAATGGAAAGAAAATATATATATATCCTTTTAAAGTCAAAACTGAGTGAAGTATAGAAGGATGACGCATCTTATATTATGATTATTTCACCGTTAAGTTCGTACAAGATTCGCCTTTCCGATGACGTGGGGCCCATATTTGTGCCAACCAGTGGAAGGTCCATTAATAGCCCATTATATCAGCCACTTAAAAATTATCTTTGTGTACTATCACTATATATATATGCACATGACAAGATAAATTATATAAATTAAAATAATGATAAAAAATAATTAGTATAAAAATAATTTTGAATATTAATATTAGTGTTGTTATTTTTTACGGTATATAATAATTTATAAGTAATTTATATGCTTATTTGTAAGATAACTGTCATTTTAGAGTTTATGTTTAGAATTAAGAAAAATGACACTTTGATATATTCAAATATTATAATTAAATAATACTCGCAACCATACTTCGATGGTAATAAAGTTAAAAATTGTGACAAATATTATACACCATCACTTAATTTAAAAATACTATTGTGCATATTATTTTAAATTTATAAAATTTACTAATATTGAAGTAGTTGATGAAAATTTACAATTATTATATACATGAGGAACTTAAATTAAAAATAATATTTATGTTTATTAATAGTTTTTAAGTACGATATATCAAATTATTTATTGTTTGACAGTATTCAATTCAATATCAACATTGCAATGTAAAATATCATGATTAGCTTGAATTTAATATCCATATTGCATTTATAACATATAAATAATTATATGTAATTTTAGAAATTAAAATAATACTTATGTGAATCTTGGTGAAAAATAATGAAATTGGTATGGACTATTTCAATAATTTTTTTATATCAAACCTAAGTGATATATATTGATAAGTAATATCAAATTGTATGTATTAATAAAATTATGACAACCTAAATGATCAAGTCTTACTAGTGGTTTTTATATAAGAATATTTTAAATTATTTTTATGAAGTATTCAAAAATTAAAATATTTTTTTTTTTTTTATTTTTAAAAATAATATTTACGAAAAAAGTTATTATTTGTCATAGAAGGTTATTAGGCTGGGACTAAATGTATCAAAGATATAAAAAAACAATATTTTTTTATCACTCATTGAATATATAGTTCATGCCTTAAAATTTAACTAGTAGTTGATCTTAGTATATGCACTTATATATATAATAATGAAAGTTATAAGTTAGATAATGAGTATATTATATTTTAAAATTTTAACAATTAGCAAAAAGATAGATGAACCATAAAAATATAAATTGCATAACTTACATAAGTATTACTATATTTATTATATATTTTATAATATTAAGAGATCATGACCAACTAATTGATTGAAAATTATTATTATTATTATTATTATTATTATTATGATGATGATGATGATGATGATGATGATGAATCATGTGTAAGTGAAATTATTATTTCCTACAAGAAGAGATGATTGAAGTTTTTACTAAAATTTATTGGCATAATTCGATTTTGTATTTGGTTTGTAATATATAATATTATTGTAATTATTTTATAGTTTTTAATTTTAATAAAAAAATCAAGAGTGGACGAAGTTATAGCATATTAATAATTAATGATGTACTAAATTTGCTAATATATTTCATACAAAAAAAAAAAAAAATATTACAATACACAGATAGTTGTGGTGAGTCAATGTCAAACAATCTCATTTTCCAAATTAAAGAAATAAGTGTCACTGATTAAATATCAGCTACATGGTTTATAAGGAAAAAAAAATAAAAAAAAAAAAATTATTGAATTGTGACGGAAAAGGCCATAAATCAAAGTACTTTTATTAAGTTTTCTTGCTAGCAATTATATATATAGAATAAATAAAAATATAATAGATTTTTTCACATACTGTATCAAAAAGATCTAATTGTATTTTATTTGCATCCAAAATGAGTTTTACCCTTTTTTTTTTACCCGGCTCGGCCGGCGGGTCGGTCCGGAGCCGGAACCGATCCGGGTGGACTATTTGGACCGGCCAACTCGACCTTGACCAGGCCGACTCGGGGCGTTGACCCAGCCGGGTTAACTCAACTCAGTTAACCCGACGGTTGAACCGGTAATCCGATAACCCAGAGACCTGCCCGGATCGATTATCGGTTTAAAAACTATGCTTTTACCTCCCCAAACAAATCCAATTATTGGAGAGGGATGATGTGTACCTAACTGTTTTCAGCACAGCAGCCAAGGGGCACTGGATTTATTTAAAACGAATTCATTTTTGTACAACTAATGAAATCTTTACTTATTTTTTAATAAAGTTATTACATTCTGAAACAACCTCCGAAAAAAAATCGGTAACCGCAAGTAACACTCCTGAATTCGTCAGCTTACAAAATGATTACATTTTTCTTATTTCATGTGTAAAATGAACTATTTGAAATAAGAAATTAAAAAATAAATGTGAATATAATCGCCGGAAAATTCAAATAATATTAGATGGTAATCGGAGACTTTAATTACCACGAAAAAAAGCAACTCAAACATATAACATCAAAAATTAAAAGCACTGCTAACCTTTTGCTGGAAACCGTGGGTGTGGTAAAAGAGGAGAAAAAGGCGGAGCAGGCCGCCGTGCACCATCACCGGTTCTTCCTCATCGCCGCCGCAAAACGGACCGAAAATCACCTTTCCGCCGCCACCTTCCAGATCTACCAAACTCCAGCAACTTTCCTCCGCGCAATCAACCGCCTGTACGCCGGAGAACGCCACGTAAGCCACCGTCCCCACACGATCCACGGCGAAGCTCAGCTGGGCGGCGACGTTGGCGTTACGGCACCGCCGCCACGATTCCTCGAGGAGCGGCGTCGACGCCAGATACGCCGCTAGCATCTCGCTGGACTCGAACCTGCCATTTTTTTTATTATATAGTTATGTCATTTTTTTTTAATAAAAAAAAAATATTTGTATTGAACAATTCAAAGTCAAAAAGGATACAAGAATTATTTGTCCTTGATTTCAGGTTTTTCAGCTTAAACTTACTGAGAAGTTTCTTGTTCCATTGAAGCTGCTTTGATATTTCTCTTTGTTTGTCCTGTGGCCTTGATGGCGGTATGTATGTGGGTGGAAGAGTAGTGAGATTACAAGCATTATTTATTTATTTTTATTTTTATAATTACATTAAAACCCCAAATATTTGTAATTGTATCAAAGCAAGACTTAAATGCTACAACTACATAACAAATGTACATAGAGGTGTACATCACACTCACATGAAGTTGAGTCCACTTGATTTTTTTATTTTTGAGGGGTCCCAGTCAATGTAAGTGTTATGTACACCATTATGTACAATATTATGTACTTATAGCATTTCTCCAAATTTTATTGTTGGGCTGCCTGCAGCACCATTGTCGTCACACTGGCCCAGGGCCTCCCGCTCGGCTTCCTTCGCCACCTGCAACAGGGCGTTCGCACTCCAATCGTCGGGTCTGCTTGTCTGCGGCATCTGGTAGTAAGATGTTATGCTCGCGCGGCACCGCGGTGGATGGCCACCGTCGCCTGGGTTCGATTGGGTCGTCGAGGGCCGTCGGTCTCGGTGATCTCCCAGTTGTCCGCACATGATCACAACACGACAAATATAATTTACAAAATTACACATTTCAATTCTAGACCTACACATGGATTTACCCATTTGTCTAAACAAATAACAAAATCTATCTTGTGTCCCACTGGGCGAATAATTATTACTAACATTCAACTATCAAAATTTCTCGACTGTTCTAGACTTTAAAAACCAATCAATAACATACATCAAAACACATATTTGACCATAATAGTGGATTAAACAAATTTCTGCAAAAATGAGTTATGCGAATATAATCCATTATATGGGTGCGTTTGAACACACGTTGTAGCATTATGTCGTAAAAACTCGAACTTTGTACAAACCGAATTAGCCAAGTGCTCTGATACCACTTGTTGTGATCGGTGAGGATCTTGTTGTGTGCAAGTTACGAGTTTAAGCAACAACACTAAACCTACGCGCAACGGATCTAGAAGTTTAACGATGAAAACTTACGACTTAAAATTCCAGTCTCTTAGACGTTGTAGATTTCGGCTGTTGGAGATCGACTGTACTTAAAATCAATTGGGCAGCTGAATTTCCTCTCGTCGGATGTTGAGATGCTCGTCGGGACGTCGCCGGGATGCAGCGGGTCGTGTCGTGGTTGCAGGGTCGCCAAGAGAGTGAGATTATCGTGGGGTTGCGGCTGGCTAACGAGGTTGCACACGGTGATCATCGAGGACGGGCTCAGCTGCTTGCTGCGTGCGTTGCGGTTTGCTGCGGTAGATCGTTGGGGACGCGTGATCGTCGTGGCTGGTTGCGGGCTGCGTGCGGCGGTCGACGGCTTCGTGTGTGGTGTCCGATATCGGGGTCTCGGTACCTCGGGATCTTCTATTGTATTACTCAACACCTCTTCGTATGTCTCGGTGGATCAACTAAACGAAGATAACGATCGACTTGGGAACTATGAGAGGGGACTGTCGAACGTGTATATGCGTGAGGATATGTGTGTCTCTCTTTATCCCATGTGTTTAATGATGTATGTATAAAGGTACAGTAGGGATCCTAAGGAGGTGATGACTTGGGCTCTTTAAGTATAGGCCTAACTATGTTCATGCCTTAGCTCAATGACTTAAATAATGCTTCGGTCCACTAACAAAACATTATTGGTGTATTCAAGACTCCAATAATAATTACTCGAATTACCAACTCATGCTTAAGATATAATGTCCATCAGTTAATTCGATGGATATCTTGTAAACCGAAGCCCGTACCACTCATCCTATAATTATTAGGGAAAATTACACTTTGCCTACCAAACTATCCGCGTTTTTACACTTTTCTCACTCAACTTTTTCTGGTGGTTACCCCTTGAACTTTAAATATTCTCGCACTTAGCGACTTCCGGCCACCGGAGATACAAAATCAAGGGCAAAGTGTAAAAACGCGAATAGTTCGGTAGGCAAAGTGTACTCGTGAAGACTGGTTTGAGGTGTCTCCTAAGGTATAAAAGATGATTTTGCCCTTGATTTTTCACCTCCGGTGGCCGGAAGTGGTTAAGTGCAAGAATTTTTTAAGTTCAAGGGGTAAAGTGTCACCGGAAAAAATTGAGTGGGCAAAGTGTAAAAACGCGGATAGTTCTGTAGGAAAAGTGTAATTTTCCCTAATTATTATATCAAAACTTAATCCACTTGTAGGGTTTAAATAATAATACTTCATGGGCTAACTTGGGGACATCATCAACCTAACGCACATGGTAAGCGCAAATATTTTAACAGCACATCGTACATGTAACATTATTACCCAAAACATCAAGAGAATTGATCCATCATAATGAATATCACCTTTAGTGAATTAAAGTAATAGCTACTGCAGGCACATGTCTGTCTTATATCTTACGGGTTAAGAGAACGCATTAAATAATTGAGGCCTAGTTCGTTTACGATGATCAGTATAAAACGAACTGCTTCTCTCTGGGATCATGTTCAATACATAAATGTACTAGTGTAGCTAATCAGTCAAGATCGACTATACGGTTGACACGACAACTGTTCTAATGGTTTGTTCATTTCCATTTAGGTCATGAAAAATCATTCTTGTTTCGCAAGTCACTGATAAAATGATCTTTTATTCACCGGCGAATGAACCATTCTATCTAAGTGCAAAACAACATAACATATGACTTTTTTTTATCAAACACGATTCTTATTCAACATATATTAAGTGTAAATATCATCCAAAGCTAAGCTTTCAGTATATACACCAACAAGGACGAGGTGGTTAAAGATTTATGTAATATCCCAATCAGTTATTAAGTTATAAGTTATAAGTTTGACTTTAAGTTGAAAGTATTCTCGGTTAAATTTTATTTATTAATCGAGCCAGTTCATTCATTAGTTCCGGTTCGTTT